GGGATGCCACCGCGCCACGTACCCCCGAAACGTGGCCGGGAACGGGCATCCCTCTCCGGGCAGGGGGTGTGGGGACGACTTGAAAAGCAGGGACCCAGGAGTGATGGCAAACACAGCTTGGGGTAGGGAGCAAAGTGCCATCGTGTCACCCGCAGATCCCAGCCCGTCCCCGCACGCCGCCGTGGGAGCTGTGCCATGTCCCCGGCCGGGCGAGCGCCGTCCCCAGTGCGCCCTGTTTGTGTGCCAACACATCACGCGCCGCTGTCGGATGGCTCGGAAGGAGGGGGGGTGTGTGTGTGTATTTTTTTTTTTTTTTTAGTGTTGTTGTTTTTTTGAACAAAGCCAAAATATTTGCATCCCCGCAGGGACAGCTTTGGGTCGCCGAGCCTGGGATGGTGCTCTGGGGTCCCGGCGGGATAAGGGACACCCAGCTCAGTGGGGACACTCCCCGCTGGCACCCGGCGCCGGCGGCTCCATCCCCCCGCGCAGTCCCGGCTGTTTATACATAGACATGTTTGTGCGCGGCGCCTGGCCCCTTCCTCGCTCCCAAACAACTGGATAAAAGTCAAAAAGTCATAAAAAATTTTCCATTGCCCAAGAGAGGGAGCAGTGACCACGTGAGGGGCTGGGCAGCTGCACAACAAGGGACACCAAATTGAGGGGGAGGGGGGAGTCCACCCCAGAAAAAACAAGGGGTTGGGTTTGATATAGTGAATAACGGTGTCAGTTTGCTCCCAGCAGCCTGCGGCATCAACCAGCCCTGTGGCAAACCCGGCACCGCTAGCAGCCGCTGCCACCGGGGTTTATGGGGTGTCTCGGTGAGCACCGGTGAGCACGATGCTCCGTGGCGATGGGACACGTGGCACATGCAACACGTCCAGCTGGCAGCTCCAGACCCCGTTTTTTTGGCATAAACCAACCCCGGTTTCTCCACAGTTTTCCCCTGCACCCCCAGGGGCTCGCTGCCTGCACTGGCCCATGCTGCCGCTCCGGGAAAAAGCTGCGATTCCTGTCGAGCTGGCGGGGAAAGCCCCGGCGCAGGGATGCAGGGACTTTGCCTGTGGTTTTCGTGGGCGGGAGCGGCTCCTGCAAAAGAGGCGGCTGAGTCAGCAGCTGCGATGCCGCCTCGGCATGTCGGGGTGCACGGCTGCTTCCTGGCGCCCCGGCAGAGCTCTGCCACCGCCGCGCAAAGGGGACTCCCGGAGATGCTGCCAGGGCCAAGCTGTGCTGTTCGCAACACCAGGGGATGGAGTAAAACCAAAATAAGGCCCAGTGCTGCCAGGGACCATGTGCGTGTCCCCAAGGTGCTCAGGGACCCGCTGGCACAGCACAGGTCCCGTAACCCGGGGACAAGCAGGTCCCCGTGCTCCTGAGCACCCGCCGGCACCGACTCGCTGCTCCCCGGGGTGCGAGCGGTGTGAGCCCAGTGTCCTACCAGCTGCAAAGATGCTGAATTTGAGCGGCGCATCAACCCCCATCCCCAGCAGCGGGACAGCGCGTGGGCATCCCCGTTTGGGCAAAATCTGGATTTATCCCCACCGACCGCTCCCCCCCCCCGCCTCCTGCAAACAGAGCAGCTCCTGGTGCCCCCCCACAGTGGGTGTTCTGGGGTGAGCTGCACCCCGCGGGGCTCAGCCCAGCTGGGGTGGGGGAAGGCGGCGCTTGTTTTGGGAGCTGGATGGGTGCCCAGGCAGGGAGGCGGCAGCCGCGCAGCTAATCCCCAGCCCTCGCAAGGCTGTGCCGGCACATTCTGTCCCTGCCAGCGCCGGGACGGCCGCGAGCTTTGTGTGTCACCCTCCCTGCAGCATGGCCATACTGGCCCTGCCCCATCACTGCCCATCTGCCAGAGGACAACAGCCTCAAGCAAAGGCCATGGCCGCCGTGCCGGGACTGAGCATCCTCTGGGGATGGGGAGAGCTGGGGGGAAGGAGGAGCCCCCCGACGTGCTGTAGAAAGGGGCTGCAGGTCCATGCACTGCAGGGCGGGAGTCCCTGCACCCTGCAGAGCCGTGAGCTGCAGCGGAGCGAGATGGGGATCCCAGCACCCCAGTGCCCAGGGCAGAGGGGTCCCACATTTTTGGCAAAAAGGAGAAGAGATGAGCACAGTGTTTCCACGCCCCTTGCGAGGAGTGGATTTTGCTGGGTGGTCTGGGAAACTTTTTTCCAATGTGCAGGGCCAAGAGCTATAAATACTCCCGGCACTGTAATTGCATAACATGCCTCCTGCCCAGCCTCGGGTCTCTGGGCCACGACCGGCATCACCGCACGTGGCACGGGGCCATCCCAGCTCAGCAGAACCCCCCCCCCCCGAGAGCCCCCGTGTGCCCCAAACCCCCTTGTGCCAATAAAGAGGAGAACAGCTCAGGCTGTTCAGTAAGGACTTTGGAGCCGGGGAAGATAAACAGCAGAAGGTTGGAGGGAACACTGGCGGCACTGCCAGCGGTTGTGAAAGCGCTGCCCTGGGGGGTCCACACCTCGCCTGGGCTCCGAATATCCAGACAAGGTATTTTTAGTCCCTCTGGGATTCAGGAGCACAGCCCTTTGCTGGCAAGGGACCCAGACTGGCCGTGCCCCCCGCCTTGCTGAGCTACTGTCTGGCTGTACAAGAAAAACCTGGAGGCATTTACAAGAATTCTTACTGGAAAGATCCCTCCCACGTGGGGACTGGGAGCGGTGCCCACCAGCATTGGGTTCCCCGGCCCGGCATGGCCTGTCCCTATGGTTGTCACCGTCACAGCGTGACGTGCTTTCCCAGAAAGGTACAACCAGACAGATGGGGTGCTCAGCGGCTCTCCTCCCCCTCCGGCCCTGGGAATAAGCATCCCCTTGTGTGGCTGGGGCAGATGATTGGGGTCTGATCCACAGCCCCCGGCCATCTCTGCCACTCGGCGTTTGCCGGCACAGAATGGCTCCCTTGTGCCGTGCCGCGGAGGTTGGCTGGGCGGGGGGAGCTGATCACAGGGTTCCCTTTGGAGGCATCTCTAACCAGGGGGGGTTGCAGCGCTGTGGTTCGTGCCCTCTTTGATGTCACCAAAAAGCTCCAGCGCAGCTGAACCATGAGGCCACCGCTACCACGAGCAGGGGATCTGGGCACGCATCTCCCTGAACAAGGATGCAAACAAATTCACGGCAAGGTCGGGTAATCCTCTTCCGAGGAAGATTACTCGGTGTGGCCAGGGGTGCCAAATAGAAGTCAGATTTGAATAAAGGTTGCATGAGCACCAGGCTCTTATAGGCAAATATGGGGACGAGTTATCTTGCTGGGCTGCAGTCGAGTGTCTGGCCCAGTGTGGGAGCACATGCTTGGACACAGCCACAGCCCTGAGCAGCTCAACAAACAACAACAACAAAAAAAAAGACGAAGGGGGGGGTGGGGTGGTGGAAATCATCACATTCCAGTGGCAATATTTTTAAACAGCACAGGCTGTGGAAGACATAACTGAAGCCCTGACTCAAGCCCTGCTTTGCATGCACCCAGGTTTGCTGTGCTCAGCACAGAAATGCTGTTAAAAACCAAATCCCAACCCAAGGCAGCAGGTGAAGGAGCCTTCCTGCACGGCAGCAGCCGTTCCCAGCCGGCACAGCGTGGGGCTGATCCCAGCCCTCCTCTGGGATGGCTGAGCCACCACGGCATGTCCCGGCTCCCAGTTGGAGTTGCCAGGTCCCTGCCAGGCTCTCAGGATGGAGGACAGCATGTCTGTCCTCCAACAGCCCGGACGCAAATAGGAAGCAAGTGTGGAAAAATACAACAGGATCACTCACAGCCCTGCTGAGTTGGTGATGGGAAAAGGGCCAAACCTGCACAGAGGTGGAGGAGGTGGAGGCACAGCCCGGAGCATCTCGGCTCTCCCTGGGGGAGCCCGACACCCAGACAGGGCTTGGGGGCTCCGAGCAGGACCAATCCTGCTGGGGAGCAGCGCTGCCGGAGTGACTCAGTTAATCCCAGTGTAGAGTGGGACTGGGTGCAGGGTGGAGCTGGGTGCCTGCAGGGTGATGAAGTGAGGGGGAAGGAGCACTCCCGCTTCCACATCCCAACAGCCACATGAGCTGCATGGCTCCGGGCAAGGAGAAGCAGAAAGAGAGCAATAAAAAACAATATCCAGGCAACATCTGGGTTTAAAAATTTATTCCAAAGAAAAATTCCCCAACAAAAAGTCGTACAAAAAGAATAGAGACAAGGGTGGTCATTACAAAAAAGTTCACAGATACAAAAAGTCATCTGAGCAATCCCGAGCGAGCAGAGCGCGGCCCTGGCCCGGAGGCTAAGGCACGCTTGGCTTTGGTTGTGCGCAGGGAAGCGAGCAACCCTGCGGGCAGGATTGTCTCAGTGAGGGAATGCAAAGGTCCTCAGCACCCAAACTCTGCTCAGGTCGTGCTGGAGCGAGCGGGGTCAGCCCTGGCATGCACGCTCGAGCGGTCCTTGCTACAACACCCAGCTCACCAGTTCGCACACTGGTGAACACAGGTTGCCGCTCTCCTCACTGCACCAGGGCCACCGACCCCTCTACGGGCGCAGGATCAAGCCCATCCTGAGCAGGACTCCAAGAATTCATTCCCACTCCACATCTCCCATCAGCATTTGTGGCTGCCACCAGCCTTGGACCGGGCTTCCTTCTCATCTCCTCGGCCGTCAGGGAGATGCCAGAGCCACAGCTCAAACACCCCTGTGGTGGTACGGCGGTGTGGGGGGAGGCATCAGCACACTGTGCAGGTTTAGGGCTGACACAAAAGAACCAGCTTTCCTGTTCTTGGAAAACGGCACCAAAATGCTGCCAGAGATCATAAAGTCATCCCCCCCAAGTCCTCTGCCCTAGTATCAGCCCATGGAAGCCTTTACAGCTTCTGTAGACCAGCTCAAACCATTCCCTCTGCAGGCATCACCAGGCTCGTGGCAAAGATTATCAGCAGCAGATGAAGTCTCTGCTTCATCTGGCCAGAAAAAGGCCTTTAACCTTCACCAGGAACTGCAACCCTGGCGAGCTACTGCACAAGGGCTGCACCTGCATCACCACAGGAGTCCAACTCGAGCAACATTAGAATATTCTCTAGTAATCCTGAGAAATACCTCCACGCTCCTATTTTCCACGACAAGAGTTGTCAAAGCAAGGCCACCGCAGGCAAGGGGAGAGCAAGTATCCCCCCTTTTTGAACCCCCAAATCCTGGGGCAGTTATTAACCCTCCACGTCCTGCCCAACAACACACGGAGCTGCTCCACACCGCAGGGTCTCACGTGTTCTCCTACCACGCACGAGTCCACGACACCGCGCTTGGTGTCGGTCCGTAGGACAGTCACGACAAGAGCAGTTGAGGGCAGTGAGCAGAGCCGGGGCCTCAGCGGTGCAGGAGCTCTGGTCTCACGGCCGCCGCGTCTCCATTTCCAGACCAAAGTGCTGTGAGGGTTCAAGCTTTCATCCCAAGGGATCGCCACGCTGTCAACCTCATCCGATGCGCTTCTCTCAACAGGTCATGCAGCGCGGACGGATGGTGTCTGATGGGGGGTTTGGATCAACCTGCAAAGCCAAGTTGAGAGTCAAAAACCTTGGCAGCGGGCACATCCCAGCCATCTCCACCAGCCCGCCCAGCCCAGGGGGATTTGTTACCTCCGAATACAGCGGAGGTGGTCGGAAGCGAAACTCCTGGATGTAGGCGAAGAAGGGACCTTCCAGGATGCCACCAAGTTCGCTGCGGCACGGCGGAGCCAGGCTCTGCTCGGCCTCCGGGCTCGACACGACCGCTGAGTATTCAGGAGGAGCTGAAGAGAGAAGAGAACCATCAAGGAATAGGAACCACTCTCCATTAATGGGAAACATGCAGGTAAAAGGGCTTCAAATCCACTATTTCTCAAACCCTCCCAGTTCCCCGGGGATAGAACCCAGGAGGTGCAGCACCACAACCAAAAAATTAAGTAAAGCAGCAAAAGCTGGTCCTGGAGCAAGAGACACGGTTGAGAACTTGCTCTGACCCTCGCTATGCAGAGCGGGTTGACCAGGGGGTTTTGCAGCACCCAGAGAAATCCCTGGAAAGAGGGAGATGCTCACCCTCCGGCTGCTCCGGGATGGTGCTCAGCCAGTCCAGGTTGACGCTGTACTGGCTGCTGACGCTGGATGTGCGGCTCCCGAACGGATGCAGTGGGATGGTTCCGATGACAAGTGGCAGTTCAAGGAGCAGCTTGGACGTCCCAGGAATATCCACGCAAACCTTCAGAGGTGGGAGACAGCAGGGAAGCTTAGCTGTTGGTGTTTTCCCAATCCAGAGGGGCAGATATCTCCCCAGAGCACTGGCTCAAGCTGGCCAGGAAGGAGTTCTTGTAGCGGGATGCAAAGGGAGATGCAAATGCTCCAGTGTGAGCCCTTGTGCTGTGCATGAGGGGCAACGGGGAGAACCCAAGACCTCATACAAATCATCAGCCCCCCCAAATCTCTGCACCAGCCCAAAGCAGGCAGAGCGAGCACAGCTCTGGGGAGAAGGAGACCACTGAGCTGAGCCACTTGCAACGCTCCCCGCGAGGCCCCTCACCTTCAGGGAGTATTCCACCTGGATGATGCGGCACTGGAGGATGGACGGACCCACCGGTGGGATCTTCAGCGCCCGCCCGTGCCACACTTCCCGCTTCCCCGCTGCAATGGAGTCACCGACGATGCTGGTCACCACCGACTTCTTCTGCTTCTTGGTGCCCCGAGCGATGAAGGTCTGAGTCTGGATGATGGCCGCCTTGGGCACCACCGCTCGGGTTGTGCAGTTGTCGATCTCAGCGAAGATAGGGATGACCTCACCTACCGAAACAGATGCAGATGTTGGTGGGAGGGGAGATGGAGCCTGGTCCTGCCCCGAGGAATTCCTGCACAGGATCCACCGAGGGTTGGTCAGGCTATCCGGCACAGAGTTTAAACCTGTTGCGCGGACTCTGCCCACATCAGGTGCACACACCAAAGCTCTCTGACTGATTTTGTGACTGAAGTCGAGACCCCAGCTCCCAATGACCCCGAATTCCCTCCCACTGGGGTCCACCCCAGGGCCTGCAGAGGTTCAAGGGTACCAGGATGTTGTCCTCACCTGGTGTGTAGCCTTTTCGGTCAATCTTGGCAGTCACAGAAACCTGGCCACGATTGCAGTACCAGGCACGAGCAAGTTTCTCCTTAGCACCTGCCTGGGGAGCCTGGGAAAAGGGAAATATTTAAGCTATTTAGTAAGAAAGGACAAAACTCAAAGCAAGCACCTCCCTAGCACTGAGAACCTGCCAGGGAGCATTGGCAACTTCTTAGGTATCTGATGCAAGATGCTGTCGCAATGCGTTAAAGTTTCTAAAAACTAAGAGACACAGATGACCTCTGCCCAGTCCAGGTAACGCTGGAGGGCACATGTTACAGTGGGGGGCAAATATTCCCTCTGGAAATCAGGCCTGCACTGTAATGCTGGAGGGGAGGCAGACACCTTCCCCATGGGCTTCCCGGGGAAGTTTTGGATGCCGCTGCCCTGAGGTGGAGCAGGGGGAGCTCACCAGCAGCGCGGGCGTGTTGATGTCGATGGGTTCAATCACCGTGAATTCCTTCTTCACTTTCTTCACTGTGGACCAGGGTCTGTGCAGTTTGGCTTTCACCCAGTAGCGCACACTGCCATGCTTTCCCTCGAAGGAGGTAGCCAGAGTCCTATGTATAAGCAACAAGTGATTTAGAAGGGCTTTGCTGAAAGAATCTAGTTTTCAAGGTGCCTTATCCCCCCCTCCCAGGGCCTACGTCACGCACCAAGCAGCTCCTCTCTCCCTTTGCATCAAGGCAACAAAAAAACGTCAACTTACTCGGGGAGCTGGAAGGTGAAGGGGAACTCGTGCCTTCCTGCCTGCAGGACGGTGACCTCACCATTGTCTGTGGGCAAAACAGATTTAAGACTATTATCTCTCCCCTGCAGAACTTCCTCCCGGGGTAAATCGGTGGCGGAGATGCACAGTACACAGCAAGTGAGCAGCACGATGGCACGGGAATGTTTCTGCCAGGGTTAAACTGCAGCTGCAGTCACACAGCTGCGGTAGCAGAGCTGGGCACATCCCGCGGGTGACGGGTGCTGGTTGTTTTCCACGCGTCTCCAGGCACGCAGGACCCAGGGAAGGTGGCCAGCTGAGCCCCCCATGCCCCCACGGTTTGCACCCCTATCCTGCCTGCATTGCACAGAGTGGCTGGGGTGGGAGGGGACCTCTGAGGATCAGCCACTCTGATCCCCCTGCTCAAAACAAGCTCCTGAACCTCCCCAGGAGTTTTCCAACGCTGCTTCCCTGTCAGGGAGCACCCACGGCAAACGGGGAGCCCTGTGTGGGGCCAGTCCCTAACTGGGGTGCCCGGCACAGCAGCAGGGCCCAGCTGCACACCCCAGGGCCCCTGGGGTGCACTCAGCATTTGGGGTGTCGGGGTGGTGGTGGGGGAGATATGCACCCACTCCCCAGAGCGTCCAGGACCTAAGACACCCCATGCACCCAGATTTTAACTGATCGGGGTGTCACCCACCCAGCAGCCTGGGTATCCAAGGCACCCAGATTTTAGCGGGTTGGGGTCTCATGCACCCAGCAGCTGGGGTGTCCCATGCACCCAGATTTCAGCTGGTTGGGGTGTCATCCACCCAGTAGCTGGGGGTGGCCCAGGCTGCCCCATACACCCACTATTTCAGCCCCTGAGGTCTCCGGAGCACCCACACCCCCGCTCTCGGCACATCGGAGCACCCCAGGGGTGCCGCCCCGGGGCGGGTGGGGGGGTGATGGTGCTGTTGGGGTGCCGTCCCCGGGGGTGCCGTACCTGGGGGTGCCAGCAGCGTGTCTCGGTGGCTGAGAAACTCCACCTGGTCGCTGTAGCTTTGCGTGTAGGCGGTGCTGGAGCCGGCGCTGCGGGATTCGGTCCAGTGAACGCGGGCAGCGCCCATCGCCCGCAGCCTCAGGGCTCCGAGCCGCGCCGCCGCCGCCAGCTCCAGCACCACCCGGCCCGACACCGCCTGCCCGGGGCTGAAAGCGGCGGGGGCATCCCGTTCCGTCCCCTCCAGCACGATAAAAAACCGTTTGAGCCGATCGAAAAGCATGGCGAGCTCCCCACCCGTGCCGTGCCGTGGCGTCGCGTGGCGTGGCGCAGCCCGGCCCCGCCGCCTCCCGCCCCGCTTTAAGTCCCCGGCGCGCCCGGGGGCGGCCCCGGTGGGGCGGGACGGGACGGGGCGGCCCCGCCGGCCCCTGCAAAACAAGGCAGCGAGCATGTGCGAGCCGCCCCCTCCCCTTCCCGGCTCCGTGGGTGTGGGTGTGGGGGGGTGTTGGGCTGGGGCTCCCCAGTTCCTTGAGCAGCCCCCACGACATCCCAAAGGGTGTTTTGGACCGCAGCAGCCCACGGGAACGCGGCCAGGAGTGGGGTGGTTCACGGGGCTGGGCGCTGCTGGGGATAACCAGCCGGGCTCCCCAAAACCCCGCTCAGCACCCCCATCCTGCGTCCCGCGCTCGGCGCGTTCCCAGGGGGGTTCACACTCGGAGCAGCAGCCCCCCCTTTCCCTTCCGGCTCCCGCGGGTGGGAGCCGAGGGCCGCATGCGGATCCACATCCCGCCTTTCCCAAGAATCATTCCCAGGGGTCGGAACAGGCTGCGACTGGATTTGGGCTCCTCACGCGGCGTGGCCGGGCCAACTGGCGATGAAGGGAAAACCGGTCTGGGACATCGCTTCACTTATTTCTAAGAAATCAAGAACTGGCTCCCGTTCAGCTTGTGCAATTACAGAGTGAGCAATACCATCTTCCCTGAGCTTTTTAACCAGGCGAGCGCTGGTTTGTTACCAGCTCGTACTGGGGTTTGTGGGGTGCTGCTCCAAAACCTAGCGACAAATTACACCTGTGTGGGCAGGCACGGCGTGGGGACTCGCTCTGTCGTCAGCGGCTGCTGCTGCCGGTGCTCAGATGGGGTAAAAGCATGAAACCTGGGAACTGGTGATTCTCAGGGCACACATCACCATTAGCAGTGCCCCAAGATGTGGTAAAAAGGAGGAGAAAGGGATCCACACACACCCCCAAGGGGTTAATGCAGCTTTAGAAACTTCCACTCTAATCATGATTGTCACAATTGCAAAGCACCAGAGTTCTCCACCCCGGGCATGGGCTGGGGATAAGACAAAACAGGCATTAGAAATGTTACTCAGCATTTGGCCACTGAAGTTTTGAGGATTTTTGAGTTGCTCCCAGCCATGCTGGGCAGGACCTGCTGTGCTGAATTGGGTTGATCTCAGCCACCAAAAATGAGCTGGGCTGAAGCCTTGTAAAGCTTTAGCCATCTCCAAAGGCTAACTGGAATTGTCTCCCTCCCCGAGGGAAAGGGACCGTGTTTCATTTTATGTGAGCGACCATTTGCTGCCACAAGCAAACATGAATCATAGCAAACACTGCAAAGGGAGCCTGACAGCAACGGGAGAGGGAAAGAAGGAAGTAAGGCATGTCACAGCACGAGTTAACGGGTGATGCCAGCTCTGGGAAGGTGGCTGGTGTCCCGGTTGCGGTGGATGGTGACATTAGAGGTGGTGGGGCTCTCGAGGGGGACCAGAGCCTTGGCCGGGCCGAGGCAGCTCCATCCTGCTCTTGGCATCCTCCTCCTCCCGCCTGTCAGCACACACCCCTCAGCCCATGACTCAGCCTTCGCCCACGGGATGAGAATCTCTGCAAACCTCCCTCCCGTGTCAGCTGCACGAGATGTCCACAAACACCCCTCGTTGCCTCCGTTGGGGGTGGGGAGCCCCACTCTGACCTCTTTGGAACCCCAGCGCTGGGAGAGGGTCCCTCCTCTTTCCCAGATCTCCAGGTGCAGGGCCTGTGGGACCACGGCCAAGGACTTTCCACTCGAGAATGCTCCTGGGCGCCCAAACCCAACTAAAACCCCAGGCCAGGCTCTGTGCAGGAAAGATCTCCAACTCTTCAGCCCCACCTAGAGTCTGGCCGGGCTGAAGCTGGTCCCAACAAGAGCTGACACCCTTCCCAGCTCAGACGGGGCTTCTCCTTCCCTGACGCGCTGCTGGGACCTGGTGGCTTCTCCCCACTGACCCTGGAGCCACACAAGGGTCCCTGGAAAACCAGAGAGGGGGATGCAGCAGGTAAAAAAGGCGAGTCAGCAGCTCTACCCCGACCCAATATGGGGACAAGATGGCACAACACGGAGCCTTGCACACAAACACATGCTCCCGGCTTAAGGAATAAGCTCCGTCCCTGCCGGATTTGCGAGTGTTGCATATGACTGAGGGTTGAGGTGCTGATCAAGGGCCACCCCGCAATGGAACAGGAGCCTGACGTGCTCTTAGCCCACGTGCTGTAACTCTCCTGGATGTCTCCATGAAAATAAAATGGCTTCTAGACATTTGCCTCTCACTGGGGCAGGACCTACACCTCTGGGAAGTGCTGCAGGACCCTCAGACAGAAGGGATCACTGCACAAAAAGCATTTATGTTTCCTAAGGCTCTCACATCACCTCATGCAGAAGAGCCCAGGGCGTTCCTTGCTTTGCCTTTGCCCATCAAACCCCTATCTTTTCCTCTCTTCCTGCTCCCTATCTAAGATCATCACACAATACACATTTAATGGCCCTGCCGTGCAGTCTGAACATCCTTCTTTCACCCTTTTTCTTGTCTTTTAGCACAGCACCCTGGTGCCAGTGCTCACCACCCTGCCAGGAAACTGCAGATAAACTCACAGCTCAGGGGAGAGCAGAAGGGAGGGCTCTTATCTCTGCCTGGCTTCCCTCCTCTGCACTGCCTTGTTACCATGACAAAACCTGCATTTTTTAAACACCACGCAGACAGTTGATCTCATTGAGAAGCAACAAGAAGGGAGCAGTCACAGGGACCTTCAGATGATGGCACGTTTTCAGCAGCTTCTCGCCAGCTGACATTGGGAAGATCCTCACGCTGCTGTTGGGGACAGTGGGACAGAGCAGGTCCCAGCAGGATCCAAAGAAAGCGATTTTGGTTGCAGAACAGCACTTCTTCACAGCCCCCGGCTTTCTCTCATATGATCACATGCCCGTGTCCCTCTCACAAAGAAGAAAGGAATATGCGTATGGACAGAGACAATAAAATCCCAGCCCACAAGTTCTGGTGGGGCTCTCTGCTCCCCAAGGAGCCCAGTTCAACTCTCCTTGTGCAGCAGGCACAGGCCAGAAACCATCAGCTCTAAGCTACGGGAGCGCAGGGTGCTGGCGAGGCCCAGCAGCTCGTGCAGTTCCTCCAGTCCCTGGCCCAGCGCCTTTTCTCAGGCGGCTCCAGGGGCTTCTATCACACACAATCCCAGCAGCAACATCCAAACACGCTCGCAGCAGCTTGTGGCTTCCCTACAGGCACTCACTGCAGGCATAATGGGGAATAAAACTCACCCTGTAACCTTACAGCTAACGCGGCCACCGTCCAAACACTGCAGTGACCAAGTGCTCAGGACGTTCTCAGCTGGAGTTCAGGGCAAGGGCTTCTCCCATGTCCTTAATTGTAATCAGGACACTGAGCACAGCTGCAGCCGCAAAGGGGCCATCCTTAGGCAAAAGCACGGAAGAGCCACTGCCAAAAGACAGAAACTCCAGAGTAATGCAGGTGTTTGGGGCAGATGGTGAGGTACAGCCACCAAGAAATTGAGAATATGACACACACACCCCCCCAGTGCAGTCGAGGGACAAGAACACCTTCAGGAAGGCAGCTCAGGTTCTCTTTCCACCACTCCAGTTTCTTCCCGCAACCTCCACATTTGCCAGCTAGGGCTGGCACCACTTTCTGGGTTGCACTTGGCCACTGGCACAATTAAATGCCCTCAGCAGGAGTGAAGTCCCGTGGCCATCTTCAGGGCTGGGCAGCACATAGCACTGTGTCCCAGGCAATAACGAGGCCATTAGAAGGAGGGAAAGGGGGAGAAAAAGCCACAGAGCCATGACTGTAACACTATCGTTGGAGGGGAGGATAAAAGACATGCACTTTCATAAGAAGAGACAGAGTCAGTGAGTGGATGGATGGCTGAGATATCCCATATCCCTCAGCTCTGGATCATTTCACCTCAACCACACAAAGAATTTAAGTGGCTTGTCCTCTTGCAGCAGATCTAAGCAACATGCCAGCTGGGCATGCGGTCCCAGCATCAGGAAACTGAAAACAAATATTTGCTGAACTACTAAGTGCTCTTTCCACACTTGCGAACAGACATTTCTGTTTGCACTTCCTTGTGCAAACAGAACAAAAGCCACAGTTCTTTTGTGCTCACCCACCCTGAGTTTGCAAGCAGCCTCCTAGAAACCAGCAGCAGAGAAACCCTTGGCAAAGGTGAGAAGAGGGTGTCTGAGCGGGACAACCCTGCTTGGGTTGGCAAGCACCCGTCGGGGCAGAGGTTCACCCGGAGGGGGTGCCTGCAGCCCAAGGGGGTCCCGACCACCCCCATGCCCCAGCCTTACCGGGGATGAGCTGGTAGCGGCGGCACAGGAAGGTCTGGTAGGCTGTGTAGTCGCGGTAGACGGTGTTGAGTCCCACGCTGCGGCTCTCCAGCCAGTGCGCGACGGCGCGTCCGTGAGCGGACACCTCCAGCGCCTGCAGCCGCAGCGCGCCGCGTAGCTCCAGCTGCACCCGGCCGTGCAGCAGCTCCCCGCTGCCGTAGGCGCCCCGCGCTTGCCTGTCCTCCAGCTCCACCGTCAAGCTCCGCAGGCACCCCGGGGGCTGCATCGCTGCCGGCCCGCTTTATCCGGCAGCTCCGGGAGGCTGGTCCTCGCCTGGGCTGAGGCGAGCGGGACAGGCAGCTGCGCAGCCCTCCAGGGAGGGGAGGAAAGAGCAAAGGCTACACCAAAATCCCCTAATTTATCCCTGCTCCTAACTGGCCCAACCCTGCAGGCCTAATCTTCCCCAGGGTTGGACCAAGCCCCTGTTTTGCAGTGATGCTTTAGCGTTGACCTCACGTGTGTGAGGCCGATGCCGTGCCAAGGATGGGGCTGCGGAGACAAGTGACATGTTTTTAAACCAATCGAGAAGTAACATGACTTCATCTTATCTCTGAGTCACAGACACTGTTGACGTGCAACCGGTACGTGCTGGTGGCTCCGTCGGCAGGGAGGGGTGTCACACACCACCAGCCATGCTGGGGCAGATTTCCTGTAGCTGGGGGAATTGAAGAAAGCCTGCTTGGCCTTGCCAGCTGGGGCACTCCTGGGGCATTGCTGGAAGGGGTGGGAGAGGAGTTTAGAAAGCAAAGACCCTTACCCCGAAAGCCAGTTTACTTTCTGTGTCTGAAGTTGCATCAAAATCCACATGAAAAAGAAAGTGAATAACCACAGGGACCTCCCAGCAACAGTTCCCCAGCCAGCTGGTTCCACCAAAAGGGTGATGTTCACCACTTATCCCCAGTGAAGCGTGCCTGTTTCTGCAGTAGCACAGGTGACAGTGCTACCTCAGGGTCACATAAAAGTAATGGGGCATACCTGTAGCAGATGCAAGACCCTGTTACTACACCAAATGATTTAATTTAGGTGTTTGAATTGAGGTGTTTGCAACATACCAGTGTGAGATACTGTGAGGTGCCTGTGTGCATTTGCAAGACTGGAATATGTGGTTTCTTTGCAGTACGCGTGGAGCAAAGACTGTCCCTTTCCTGAAAGAGGTAGAGTCAAATCCCAAGAGGAAAGCATGAGGGCTCATGGGCCCAGCCCCTGTTCACACACAAACTGCAGCAGTTTTAAATGGTTTAGTAATTCGTGCTCAAATGCTTCGGTGCTGGCTCACAGCACACATGAATCAGACCCGTCTGCACCAAAAGGATGACCAGAGCCTGCAAAGTGGCAGCTGTGGCAAGGCAGCAGCTGACCTGGATCACTCAGCCTCCCCAGGGAGGGGGCAGATGGGCCCACACTGATCCATCTTCAAAATACCTGTATCCCAAACAGAGATAGTGCAAGCTCAGCATTCAGGAAACCCATGCAAGTTATCAGCTCAACAAAAATACACAGCTCACCTCTAGGAAAACAGCCCACTCATAAGCTGGGGAGAGCTACCTCTCTGCCCTACTGTTCACTGACCTTTGGTTTCAGGCCTTGACACCAAAATCCAAACAGATAATAAGGGAATATTCCAGCCCCCACACAGCCCTGACAGTGCCTCTCACTTTGCTACTGATCTCTTGCCCTTTCTCTGAGCTTCCCCCTACCCCATCTGCTTCCTCCTGCCCCAGCGCCTGCCTTAGAGGCACTCAGTGGGTCTCGCAATCCCGAGAGATGTGTCACCCATGTCTCTGGGCTAATCTCCCAGTGTTTATTCTTGCTGTCACACCACCTTCTTGTGTCCTCATTAAATCTGAGAAATAAATGTTCCCTGTAATAACACCCAGACAGGGTAAGAGCAGGGTGCTAGGACTGCTAACGGGTAACATGAGGTGTAGGCAGTCCGCGGTGGGTAGCAAGGGCTGGGTGGTCACTGAAGCTGGGAGAACATCACCGTGCGAAGATCACCTTCCTCTGGGGACAGTATTTTTTCAGGTTCCCCAGGGGGACACGGCTCACTTGGGAGTTTGCCTTTTGGATTTCTGCTGGGCCTCTGGACTTGGGTGTGAACTCATCTTTCTGCTCAGTCCTGAAGAGGTCCTGCGCCCTCCAGGGCAGCCCCAGGTGTGAGCATTTGATCTGAGGAGAGAGGAAAGCTTTCAGCACATGGGGCAGGGGCGGGTGGTAATGTGGAACCTGACAGCCCCTACATCTCAGCTCTGTGTTGCTACCTGAGGGGTCACCCCACCAGGCAGCTGCAGTCTGTGCCAGCCTGCATTCTCCCTCTCTGGCAGATTCACAGCCTTCTCTGCTGATGGTGCAGACCTTTACCCTGGCTGGATGCCTCTAGCCATGCCAGTCTTCCTCCTTTGATCCTCTGTGAGGGACCAGAATCACCTTCCTCCTCCCTCCAATGTTCCTTGGTTTAGGAATTTGGTTGCCTGTCCCTTCAAAGATTTTTTCTTCAGCTACAACTCTGCTCCCCACAGAGCATTTACTTGAGACTGGAGGCAGACAGGATTTGCTGCGCGGCTGTCCCATCTCAAGTCGCTCAAGAGCTAACAACACCAAAACTGATGATGTTAATGGGCAGGCTACAGCTTCACTTGGTATAATCCCGCTTCCCCAAGCTGCCCCGTGGTAAATCCAAGCCTATTAAGGCTGTACCTGCTGTAGCATGTCTTTGGAGAGTCGTTGTTTCTGCTGTCTGTGTGGGACCAGCATGGCCTGCGTGGTTGTGACAGAACTTTCATCTGCTGACAGATGGAATTGAAATAAAAATTAAATTCAAGCCAGTAAATTAGGAGGCAACACCAGAAAAGCTTTGCAGTTTGACTTGCAGTCACAGATCTGCATGCATTTCCATTAACGAGAGGAAAAGACAGGCTTTGCCGTCAGCACTTTGCTGAAAACCTTTGCCCAGACAGAAAACAATTCTCAGGGTGAGGAGGTAAATAAAGAAATTCACATGGCAGTTACAGGAATATCACTCCATATGCTAGTTATGGAGCTACTCCAGAAGGTTGAGGCCGAGGAAGAGATCAATTCAACTATGATCTGTTCCACATTTAGTAAAATAAATGGCTTAAAACCAGATACATGGTATGAAAGGACCTCTCTTTTAGCTGCAGAGTACTGGCCATCAGAAACAGGAGGCAACGTCAGAGGAGGATTTTCTTAATGCCTTCCATGACCAGCTCTAACCACATCCCTTCCTGAGGTTGCATAAGCACAGCTTTTGATTGAAATCCTCTCCTTCCTCCCAAATACAAATGCAAAACAACTTCTAAAAACAAATGTAGCAAGGGAGAAAGATCGAGCCACTGGTTCATGTCTTAGAAGTCTTTCACAACACCTGAATTGCCGTGTGATGGCAGTGAATGCCTATGGCTGGCACAGGCATCAGAGTGAGTGAGATGGCATCTGGGAAGGTGAAATCTCTCCTGAGATTAGGAGCCGCTGTGAGAACCAGCAGCAGTAGGCATGGCTGTCCTGCCTGGTTTTGGGGTAACAGTCTCATTTTACTGAAGACACGATGCTGCACCAGCGCCTCCCTGCCATCTCCAACTCGAGATGTCCGTGCTGCCTCCTTCCCCAGAGCACCAGGCACCTCTGCCCCTTGCAAAGAGCCAGGAGAACCTCAGCAGGCTTCATACAGCACCACCACGGTCTGAGCAACACGGCCTTACTGTGATAGGTGAAGGGGACGTGGCTCTCGCGGTGGCTCCTGCTGTCTGCCATCACCCTCTGGCCCTGGCAGGGTGGCTGATAGTCTGCCTGCTGCGTTGTGCTGAAGAAACTGGATCCTGAACACTCATCTCCCAAGCAGACATTGCTTTGATGTTTCTGAAGTAGTGAGTCAGGCTTCGGTGCGAGGTTCCACCTGTCAGTCTGGAGGACAAGAGCTGCTTTAACAGAAACAGGCTGTGGCTGGAAAAGGCGCCCTATTGCACATTAGCACCCTACACAGCCCAGTGTCCAGCGCTGCCACGTGGTGTGGGGAGGGGAGAAGAGAAGAGGACATCGGCTTTAGGCACCAGAGCAGCGTGAGTAAAAGAAGAGAGGGTCTCCACCAGAGAAACACCCGCACAGCAAAGCTGGAAACAGACCTCTGGGTAGGAGAGCTGTGTAGTAGTAGTGCTGGCCAATGCTTGATTTCTCTCAGGGTCCTCGTCGCCTCTGGGGATGGATGAGGCATATCTGTTTGGATGAGCGGTAGTTACAGGCTCTGGCAAAAGCAAAAGTGAAGGATATTAGAGTGCCTCAGTCTCTGAACAATTTATACCTACAACAGTTTCTCCTTGTGCAGTAGAGCACAGGAATGAATACAGCGATTTAACCTGCTGGGGAAGTGGAGTGAGGATGAAAGGGAGCCTCACAGTGACGACACTGGTGCTGAGTATGTAAAAACTATTCAAAATATCAAATTATATACATATCATATGAATGCACTGTATCTTTAATTACTACACTAAAACCAAATGATAAAACCTACTGTTCAGCTCATTATAAACCCCAGTAGTGGTCTGTACATGTGGCCTCTGTGTCACAGACCTACCCTACCTAGATTGTGCACTGGGAAGAGCTCTGACGTTGAGGTGGAGAATCTGATGCAACCGTCCCCCAGCTGCATGTTTGTGTGGTGGATATGGGAGGCAGCACGTTCCTTGTCATAGACCCTGCGAGATACCAGATATGAGCTGCTTAACTAGCAAAGTTCATCAGAAAGAGCAGTTCCTAGGGATGCCCATCAGGTTCTCCTGCTGATACCTGTGTCTCCGCTTGTCCGGGGCACTGTAGGCATGTTTCTGCTCACTCATAGATCCACTGCTTCTGGGATCCCCAAATGTAATAGTAGACATGTGCTGAAGGGAAGCCAAGAGAGCTACAGAACAGCCACTTAAAGCATAATTCCTTTGTCTCCCTGCTCTGTCTTTCCATTCATCTGGTTTTCACTTGCACGGATCCCACCCCTTTCAGGATGGAATTCAACATGGGAACATGCTGCCCTTTGACTGTATCTTGGTCGTCCCCAAAATCATGCTGTTACCTTTTCACTGGGCTTTGCAGGTGGACTCCATTCACCTTTAAACTGTGCTTGATAAGAAGTGTGGTAATAGGACTGTCCATCCCCTTTAATAGTAGGAACACATCCTGCCAAACAGCCAGAAGGGAGAATGAATGGTGTTATTTTTAAAAATGCTCTGTTTACCCTTATAAGGAAATATTAATGATATTGAAGCTACAATTTTGAGGCAGCTGCTCTTTTAGTATTTCAATACTACTGAATCTGTTTTGTGTAGTGAAATGGCAAAACAACTGACACCGGGTTGCAGTGAGTTGCAACACTGCAGAACATGGATGTGGTGCCTCAGAAGTGATGCAGCTCTGGGGTGAAAACTGCAGCATCTGGGGATACAGCAAGTGTTAAAGACAGCTGGAAAGGCTGCGCAGCAAAAAGCTCGGCTAGCGAGTGGCTCTAGTTAGTGCTATTAACCTGTTTTATGAGCATCGGATTGATTTACTCAGCTATATAAAGAGAAGGCAAAATATCCTAATAGTTCTAACAGCTTTAATTTTTCACAGCAGGACTCTGAGCCAAGCCCTGGTGCCAGGAAGGTCTGCTGGGGACACATCAGCCCTTAAAACAGCTCACCCCAGTGCGAGTGCCATGGCCTGGCGGCAGGCTGGATTTCCCACGCTGGGTATGAAAAGGCGTAGAGGGATGGAGGGAGCCTTATTTTCTCTCTGTCGCCACATGGAACGTCATCCTTCCATTTCTCGGCCGTGGGCCGGGGGGGTGTCTGAAGGGGGGCGTGTGGCCAGGGGAAGCTCTCCCTCGTCGCCGAGGCGAGGACGCGGATGCGGGGGTCTGTGTGCATGCGGAGCCGTGGCTCCGGGCGAACAACGGGGGCCACCCGCTGCAGGGGCCTCTCTGGAAACGCCAGGCGAGTTTCCGAGCAGGTTCCCCCGCCGTCACCCCCAGCCGCCCTCAGCGCCCACTCGCTGCGGGGCGGCGGGGCCGGCGCCGGCCGGTAAACCCCCCAGAGTGGGGGGAACTGGCTGTGAGAAAATGGTCGCCGGGCGCTGCGCGGCGTCCAGCGGTCAGCCCCCAGCTGAATGTGCGATGCCTTCAGGAAGGCGAGGCCGGTGAGCGGGGCCGGGATCGCTGCCGCCGCCGCCGCCGCCATCACCGAAAGGCCGCGGTTTGGGTACCGGGCCGCGTCGCCATGGCGACGGCTCCGCCACCTTCCCGGCAAGCCCCGCGCCGCCGGCGGCACATCCGGGAAGCCGTTGCTATGGCGGCGGGCGCCTTCCGCGGCCTAGTCGCTGTGCTGGAGACCTACCGCGGCCGCGACCGGGTGGTGAGTGGGCGGGGAGCGGCCCGGCAGGGTCCTTGAGCGGCCGGGACGGCCGGGCTCTCACCGGGTTGTGCCTCCGCAGGTCCGTGCGCTTTGCTATGGCTGTCAGCTGGCGGGCGGAGCGCTGGCCGGGCCTCAGGCCTCGCCATCCGGGCTGCCCGGGAGCCTCCTGGCCGTGTCGGCCCAGCTGAGCGCCTGCCGCACCGCCCTCCGCCTCTTCGACGACTTCGCCATGCTCAGCTACAGCTGCAGCTACGGGCTGGGCCCTAAGGTGAGCGCAGGGCCGTGGGGAGCAGCGGTGGCCTCCCCCCCCCGCCCCACCAGCGCCAAGGTGTGTCGTGTCCCCCGTGCTCCCCGCAGGATGAGGACACTTTGGTGCGGGCGCTGTCGGTGCTCTGCAACCTGGCCAACCAGCTCTACTATCCCTGCGAGCACATCGCCTGGGCAGCGGACGCCGGTGTTGTCCGCCTCGGCTCGCGGAACTGGTGGACGCTGAGCACAGTGCTCTGGGCTTTCTCCCTGCTCCTGGGCATCCTGCGGTAAGGGGATGGGACAGGGAACGAATCCCCTTGTGATCGGGCTAAAATGGAGGACCCTCTCAGCCGCAGAAGCATGCACGCTTCCTCACCGATGCGCTTAATGCAAGAGATAAAAATCCTCCCCCTTGGCACTGCGGAGAAAATAACTCTGTTGTCTTGTTTTCAGATCCCTGAGAATCTTGTTCCAGTTAAGAAGAAAGCTGAGGCAGCACAAGTGGTATGATTTCCCCTTCTTGGCTCTACAGCTAATCTAACCCCAATACATCTGCCCTCATCTGTGAGCTATCACTGATTATTATTACGTTATGGGCTTTCACTAATGTTAGTTTTGCTTCCAGCAGTACAAAGGAGAGTCAAAAGGAAACAAAAGCCCAAGTAAAGGCTGAAGTTTTGAGCATCCTCACAGACGCAGCAGATCTCTCCAACGCAATCCACTGGCTGCCGCCGGGATTCCTTTGGGCTGGCCGCTTTCCTCCCTGGCTAGTCGGTCTCCTGGGGACCATATCTTCCCTGATTGGAATCTACCAGTCATCTGGAGGAGGAAATTCTGAAGCTGTATAAAACATAATTAAGCTTCAGGAGGCAAATTTTTACACGGCAAAAATGCCTTTAGTGTGAGGCAGGGTGTATTTTAACATGCCTGGGTGTTTTTGGTTGTAATTTCACACATCCTGTAATTGGGACTGTAGTCAAGATGTCTATTACAGAGAGGATTGTTTGCGGCTAACAAGTTTTATCACTCTTCATCAGAGAAATCTTTCAGGTGAACCCTCTGAAAATCAAGAAATCTCCTAAGACTGGGAAAATAGAGGGGAAAAGTCACTTCCATTCTTCCTTCCTCTGTCCCAAAAGACACATGCAGTAATTTAAAAGAGCACAAAGTCAGCGTTAGGCGGGGAAGAGGCCATGGTTCTGTCGCACAAAACTCCTCTGGTCTCGGTGCCTTGTCTGAACCAGGGAGGGGTGACTGGTATCAGGGAACTTTCTCCATCAGATATTTTGGTGTTTGAGCCCGGAGCAGGTGCCCCAAGCACGGAGAGGAGCAAGCGGTTATTGTGGCTGTGACTGTTGTGTTTTGAGGGGAAATGGGAAAGGAACAGCAACTGTTCACAGTTCCTCGAGAGGCTTTCTTCTGGGCTGTGTTGCTCATCTTAAGGGGAAATACTGAAAGTTGAGACTTCCTGGGGGAAACAAGAGGCAGCGCTCAGCCTCCAGCCGTGCCTTTATGGAATGCCACCGGGTGGAGCTCTTCCACCAGGCTCCAGCAGCAGCCAACAGACTTTTTTTTTAAAAAACAGCAAATTTATTAATCACCTTTCAAAGGACCAATCAAACCAATGCCAAGATGAGTTTTATAGTTATATTTCTAGGCGGTACCAATAATAAATGAGACAAATACTTCAAAGGTGGCCTTGAGTGATCAGTCCCTCAGATAACTGGGCCAATGTTCTTTTATCTGGTTCTAGAAAGCTCTGAGCCGTGCCTAGGCAACAGAAAACGTTTGTGCTGCGTTGGCTGCAGCTCCCCATCTGTTATCAGCTTTCCTTCTCCCGAAATAATTTAGAGCACCTGACTGACTGTCATGGAAATGCATCTTTTGAAAACAATCCCGCTCAGCCTGCGTGGTGCTTGTGCTCCCTGGGACGCAGTACGGTGCCCATCACACATCCAGGAGGTTTGATCTCTTTTGTTGTTGTTGTTGCTGGTTTTGGCACTGACACTGGAAACTCTCCTGCCTGTGTCCAAAGAGCAGAGCGAGGTCTTGATACTCTTCATCCTCCGCCCTGTCCTCGCCGTTTATCTGGACCTTCACCCTGCCAAGTGCCCCAGCAGACACCTCCCTCATTGTGCTCAGAATTTGGTGTCAGATTTACCAGTTTTGGTACAGGTTTAGCTGGAAAAGACTCCTTTTGCCTCTACTCATGCCACAGGTCTTGTGCCTGAAGAGCCCGGGGCCTGGCGTTGGGGACAGCTGTAGCTGCTGCCTCGTCCTGTCACCAGCTGCGGTGGCTCCTGCTGCAATTTGGTGGGGTTTTAATCAGAAATCAGATTCTATCTCTTTGTATTCTTAACCCCATGAATCCATTCCTTCTGAACACTCTCGCCTACTCAGTGTGGGACAAGGTGGAACTATAGCAATTAAATATACACACCTCTGATACCAAATTAGTAAAACTCTAAACCATGTTTTTCATTTTAACATAAAGAAAGGTTGCTGTAAACCGCTCTAAATGTGCTTGCTTTATCCCCTTCCTCATGGAGTGATTTTTAAATCACAGCCGGTGAAGCGCCGGACAAACTGAAATGTGCAAAGATAATGCAAAATCTGGTACTTAAGAATTTCTGAAATTCCTATTTTTCCGTAGAGGGGTTTTGGTCCCTCCTGACACACAATATTTAAACATCGATGGTGGCTGCTGACTGGCCAGACCAGCATTCGCTCTTTCTTAGTCCAAGCCCCCACCCCAATCCTCTCAAAATCTGTCTTTTTTTTTTTTTTTCTTTTTTTTTTGTTTGTTTTGTTTTTTCTCCTCTTTTCTGCTGCGGCCTTAAGCCCAACTCAGCTCCTGCTCTGCCCCATGCAGGAGAACATTTGCTGAGCAGGGATAGTTTGTTCGGGCCGTGACCTCCCTTTGTCAGCAAGCCGGGAGCTAAAGGCTGAGCTGCCGCTTCCAGCCCAGACCCCGGATTTTTGCTTTTATCGCCCATTTATGGCAGCGTGGCTCCGCGGCCAAAGTTCCGGCCGGGCTTTATGAGCGTCAGGGCTGCCCTACCATCCCCCTTTCGGCTGCCGAAGCCTTGCTGCGGGAGGGAGCGGTGCTCCTGCCCCGAGTAAGCTGCTTCGGTTCGGGGGGAGCAGCGCTGGGAAAAGGGGGGACGGAGGGACCCGCCGGCGGCAGCCAGGAAAGGGTTAAGGGGCGGCGCATGCGCACGGCCGGCCCCGGCTCCCATTCACAAAAGAGCGCGGAGGAGGGCGGTGATTGGCTGTTCCGCCGCGGGAGGGGCGGGGCCGGCGGCGCGGGGGCCACGCGGCGGCGGGGCGCGGCGGCAGAACGGGCGGCGAGCGGCGGGTGAGCGCGGGAGGCGGGAGAGGGGGGCACCGGCACCGGGGTTGGGCACCACCAGGAGCGGGGGGGTACCAGCACCGAGAGCGGGGGTGTGCAGCACCGGGAGAGGGGGGGCACCGGGACCGAGCGTGGGCAGCACCGGGAGCGGGGGGGCACCGGCACCGAGAGCGGGGGTGTGCAGCACCGGGAAGGGGGGGGGCACCGGCACCAAGAGCGGGGGTGTGCAGCACCGGGAGCGGGGGGTGCGGGAGCTGGGGGGCACCGGGGGCGGGGTGCACCGGGGGAAGGCGGCACCGGGAGAGGGTGTCGCGGGGAGCGCGGGGGCACCGGGAGCGGGCAACGCCTGCGTCGGGCAGCACCAGAACTGCACATCGGGACCCCCCCCCCCCCTTTCACTCCCCCGATTCTACGCGGGGCCCGGCGGAGCCGTTCTCTGCACCGGCGTTTGGCCCGCGACCGCCCGGTGCCCCGTTCCGGTTTGCACTGGGCGAGCCCCACCGCCGCGGGACACCCCCCCCCCCCCGCCCCCCCGCGCTCCCGGTGCCACGGGGCTCGTCCCTGCTGACTCCCGTTTGCCCTCGCAGAGCAGGCTCAGCACCATGTCCGTCAGCAGCCACGAGAACCGCAAATCTCGCTCCAGCTCTGGCTCCATGAACATCCACCTCTTTCACAAACCGGGCCATGCCGACAGCCTCCTCACCCACCTCAACCTGCTCCGCAAGCGGCACCTCTTCACCGACGCGGTGCTGCGAGCCGGGAACCAGACCTTCCACTGCCACCGGGCCGTCCTGGCCTCCTGCAGCCGCTACTTCGACGCTATGTTCAGCGGGGGCTTGAAAGAGAGCCGAGACGCCGAAGTCAACTTCCACGACTCCCTCCACCCCGAGGTGCTGGAGCTGCTGTTGGATTACGCCTACTCGGCCCGGGTGCTGATTAATGAGGAGAACGCGGAGTCCTTGCTGGAGGCTGGGGACATGTTGCAGTTTCAGGATATTCGGGATGCTTCGGCCGACTTCCTGGAGAAGAATCTCTACCCTGGGAATTGTTTGAACATGTTGTTGCTGTCCGATGCCCACTGCTGCGAGCGGCTGCTGGAGCTGTCCTGGAGGATGGCGCTGGCCAACTTCACCTCGCTCTGCAAGACCGAAGACTTCCTCCGGCTGCCCAAAGACAAGCTGCTGGAGCTGGTGGAGAGTGAAGAGCTGGAAGTAGAGGATGAGACGTTGGTCTACGAGGCCGTTATAGGTTGGATCCGGTACGATTTGCCCCGACGTCATGAAGTTCTGCCAGAGCTGCTGCGCTCCGTCCGCCTGGCCCTTCTGCCCGAGTCCTACCTGCGGAAGCAAGTGGCCTGTGAGAAGCTGGTGACCAGCCACAAGCTGGGGGAAGAGATTGTGGCCGATGCCGTACGATGCAAAATGAAGATCCTGCAAAATGACGGCCTTGTGACGGGGTGCTGCGCCCGACCCCGCAAGGTCAGCCAGGCCCTGCTGCTGCTCGGTGGCCAGACCTTCATGTGTGACAAGATTTACATGCTGGATCATAAAACCAGCGAGATCATTCCTCGTGCCGACATCCCAAGCCCTCGTAAAGAGTGCAGTGCCTGCGCCATCGGGTGCAAAGTGTACATCACCGGCGGCAAAGGCTCCGAGAACGGCGCTTCCAGAGACGTCTGGGTTTATGACACCCTCCACGACGAGTGGGCGAAAGCTGCTCCCATGCTGGTGGCGCGGTTTGGCCACGGCTCCGCTGAGCTGGACCACTGTCTGTACGTGGTGGGGGGTCACACCGCTGTGAGCGGGGCCTTCCCGGCCTCCCCCTCCGTTTCGCTGAAGCAAGTCGAACACTACGACCCACAGCTGGACAAATGGTCCTTGGTGGCTCCTCTCCGAGAAGGCGTAAGCAACGCCGCCGTGGTGGGAGCCAAGATGAAGCTCTTCGTTTTCGGTGGCACCAGCGCCAACCAGGAGAAGCTGCCCAAGGTGCAGTGCTTCGACCCCTGCCAGAACCGCTGGACGGTGCCCACCAGCTGCCCCCAGCCCTGGCGATACACGGCCGCCGCCGTGGTGGGCAGCCACATCATCGTCATCGGGGGGGACACGGAGTTCTCCGCCAGCTCCGCTTACCGCTTCCACAGTGACACCTACCAGTGGTCCAAATTCGGGGACGTCACCGCCAAGCGCATCAGCTGCCGCGCCGTTACGTCGGGTAACAGACTGTACGTGGTGGGGGGCTACTGCGGGGCTCAGCGCTGCAAAACGCTGGACTGCTACGATCCGTCGTCCGACACCTGGAGCAGCGTCACGACGGTGCCCTATTCCCTCATCCCCACCGCCTTTGTCAGCACCTGGAAGTACCTGTCTGCCTGAGTCACGGTGTGGCGAAGAACCTGGAAGGTAAATAGTTGCAGATCAACCCAGAGCTCCCCTATATAACTTGGCGCTGCACAAGGGTTAAACCCCGAGGGGCAGATGCACGTGGATCTGGATTGGAGTTGTCCTGGAGAACAGCCTTGTGTGAGCACCGGGTCCAGAAGGTGCTTCCAGGCTGGTAGTTTGGGATCTAAAACCCTGCAGGAGAGGGAGGTTGTCTCTTTAGGTGCTGAAACGCTGCGGGGAGAAGATCAGTATAAATAACAAGACACTTAACCTGGCATCCTAGCCCTTCCACTGAGTCTTGGCCTATGCAAAGATTTCGGGGAATGCTCTCTGCGAGGAGGATTGGGTGTCCTCCCTGGTACAGAAAACTCGTGGAGCCGATGGTTATGTTAAGAGGCAGGCTGGCTGCAGGAGCTGGGGGAGACCGCGCGGTGCCATGGGGGACTGGCTGCTGCTTTTAGCACAGCAGCCTGCTTCTGGTGCCACGGTTAATCTGCTTGTGGCACCCAAATGTCTTGTGGGATGTGAGGGATGTGAGCTGGGGCCAGAATAAGATCACAGCTGGGATTTAGTCCTAGAGTGGTTGGTAATTGCATTTGTAAGACAAGTCCTGTCTACATATAAACACAGGGTTTCTCCACTTGTAATTATTCTCTGGTGTCCCTTTCATGCTATTTCTTTCTTGCTACACAGTGATTAACTTTTTAAAAATTCGCAACTGGAGTTAAACCTTTCTGAAGGCTGTTGGCAGAAAAGATGCCAGTGAATCACAGATCCCTGCAGGTTTTTCTTTTCCCCTCGCAATAGATGTACTACCCCAATGGACTTGTTAAATGTAATAAAATATCCTGTGATGCCTATGGGAAAGTCCTGATGTAGGGGGAAAATACACAGCAGTCACTCCACGGTAACAGCGTTCGGGGTTTTGAGGCCTGGGGAGTGTTTCTGGGTTTGCTGCA